GTGAAGGTGAGTGACAGAGTGAGTCTGAGTGCCCAAAAAGCAAAGAGAATTTTGCTCATTCCAACTTTATTTTCCACTGCTATCTACCAAAACGCGAATCTTCCATATCATATCTTTTAGGTAAAATGTCTCTTTTCTTGTCAACTTAGTTAATAGATAGTTAAGAGAAAGAATGTTTAATTTTTGCTTTTGTCAACTATTTTTTTTTTATATTTCTTGTTAGAGAAATCTTACTATGTTAGAGAGAATGTTTAATTTTTGCTTTTGTCAACTATTTTGTTTTATTTTTCTTGTTAGAGAAATCTTTCTATGTTTTGTTTGGTTTTCCTTCTGATAATAGCCAAACAGAAAATAAGCTTTGTGAGAAACAAATCTGAAGTTATGGAAAGGAAAAGAAAAAGAGAAATTTCAAAAAATGCCACTTTTCAAGTGTCACTTTACAAAAATGCCACATTTTTAAAATCTTTATAAAAATACCACTTTTTCAAAATTATTTTTTCTTTATATTATTTATGTTTGGGTTAATTATGTTCTATTAGGGTTTAGTTTTGAGTATTTAGGGGGTTTTAGGTGTCAAAACATTTTTTAGGGTTTAGAATTTTAAGATATAGGCTTTATAAATCTATAATTAGTGGCATTTTTGTAAATGGACACCCCTAAGTGACATTATTGCAAATGTGCACACAAAAAATAGCATTTTTGTAATTGCCCCAAAGAAAAAACAAATTCAATGAAGATATATTTTATGATTTTTCCATTACCGTTCTACTTAGTGGTTAATTGTCTTCATAATTCACCTATCTTTGTTTAGAACCATCACTTATTTTAAAACATTTTGTATGTCGTTCAGGTTGAAAACTAGTTTTGGAAATAGTTAGTGATGATTTGTATGATCAACAAGAAATTTTAGGAATCTAAATAGTAATCTTCGGTGTCATAAAAGATCCATTGTCCCTTTTTTTTTGTTGCGCACTACATACATTGATTAAAAAATTACAGAATCTGGAAACCAATAAGAAAACGAAGTGTTAATGGTAGAGAAAACTGTTTTCTTTAGGCGAGCGTTCCTATCCAGTAGATCTACCGTTTTGTTCATTTCCCTAGGACAATACTTTAGAATAAAGTCTGGAAACGACACGCCTAAAGTCTTCAATTCTTCAATTTTGGTTTGGAACCAAGGCCAATTATCTGAATCCATTGTCCTAAAATGTCCAAAAAGATATGAAGATCCACCACCAACCGGAGTAGTTACAACAAGATATTGAGAATATGTATATAAACCAATTTGCAAATTATATGTATGATTTTTTTTAGTTGATAACACTCTCCGTACTTTTTATATATTTAATTTGAATATCGCAGCAGTAGATAAAAATGGTTATGTTGTATTTAAATAAAAAATTAAGGGTATATCTTGTCATCTTCAAAACCGATGATT